TATATATTCAGCTCTGTACCAAGAGTACCTACAGTCAGATTCTCAATTAGTCGACACATTTCACGCAACGGGCACATTCTTTTTCTCCCCTATCCCCAATTCATATTTTTGCACTCTTTTCTAGTCATTCTAAATTTTAGACCAAAGAGGCACAGGCAAAAAAGCAAACACCGACCTCATCTCTTCTGTTGATTGGCCTATTTTTTTAACAGTTCCCAGGGCTCCTCCAAGTAACGTCATGGCTACAAATACGAGTTCCACAAGTTTACAAGTGGACTGGGGCGAGGTTCCCTTCCTTGATCAACTTGGCATCATCCGAGGTTACAGAGTATTGATGTGGAGAACCAATCAGAGTTCAGATATTTTGAGGAACGTCACCGTACTGGTTCCGTCACAAGCTATTAGCTTCTCAGGATTGGAAATGTATACTAACTACACAATTCAGATTTTGGCCTTCTCTGCGAAAGGAGCCGGGAATAAGAGTGAACCCATAGTGGTCATCACTGACGAAGACAGTAAGTGAATTATTTAGCAAATACAAGATGGTGTGTCATGTTCTCTTTAAGAAGTAGAAAACATGTACAGTGTTTCCATCGAGTTGTAGAAATACGTGTGGAAGTTTGGGAGAACGATAAATGCTGTGGAAACAAGAACCGCAGGGCAAGTGTTTCCACAGCTTTTTCAAGTTCTCCCAAACTTTCACGAGTGATTCTACAACGCGATCGAAAAACGGAGAACATGTTTTCTATTTCTTTCAGAAAACACCGCGACGAAAAAAAGGAGAACAACTTGTTAACTTTGATTATCAAAATGTAAATTCTCTTTGCTCGCGTCATCATTACGTCAACAGCTTGTGCTAGTTCTGTGTTACTATTGAGTTATAGAGACACGACTTTTAACCAATCAGCGCGCGTATTTTTTAGGACTATTTTCTAAAAGAAACTGTTGCGCTTTTGAGATCTACAAGTCTAGGGAAAAAAAACAGTTGTAGACCTCAAAAGTGCATTATTTTCTTAGAAAACATAGGAATGCCATCTTTTACTTGGTTTAGATATAACATGAAAAAGCGAAATTATTTGCAATTGAGAAGGGTCGGGGATTGCAACACAACACCTGGGTCGTACATACCCTATAACGTCTTTTAAAAAATAATGCACGCTCTGCTCCAGTAGAGGGTATACAGCAGCCTTATGCTAAAGTTGAACGTTTGCAGCTCACGTCTGTGTTTTATTTTTCCTCATTAAGAGACCATGTTTAAACACTAAAATTAAAATAACAATATGGCTTTCTTCACAATCAGGTAGAAAATCTTTATACAATAATTTGACGGTTAATTCAAATATGTTGCAAGCATTGAGCTGCTACGGCAAAAAGCTTAATAGCGGTGGTTGCAGTTGAATTGCGGTCAAATATTCGTTTGTATAAAAAGGCATGATAATGAGGCGACTTCCGAATTACCTTAATCCTCTTGCTCATAGCGAGTCTTTTTGTTTTCCCCTTCTTTGATATGAAAATGAGATTCCATTCTCATGCAAATTAAACTCATTTTCATATGAATGGNGATATGAAAATGAGATTCCATTCTCATGCAAATTAAACTCATTTTCATACGAATGGTTGTACACCAGGCCTCGTTTTGACAGAGAGTCTCAGGTCAACTCGGCAATGGGCTATTGAGCATTTCGACTCGTTTTTTAAGTCAAACCGCTGATAACTTCAATAACAGCAATTATTAAGGATACGACACTGACCCCAGACTGAGCGCCTTTTTAGAAAGAGTTCGCTCTACAACAGACAAATTTTAAACAAAGTAACTTGTCATTCTCAGGGGCTTAACAACACGTTTTACTCCTGCGGCCATGATTCTCAATGATAACTTTGTTTCGCTTCACCTGCGGAAACGTACTCGATGCAAAGA